TTTGGCCTCTAAATTGGCTGGCCATTGCCAGGAAGATGACCTTAGATTTTTCTTTTTTTGGTCAAGTCAGGATCAAAGGCCCATTGCTTATAGGTTTTTCCCTTGGTTTTTACATATTAATGCTAACTCAGAAGGGGGAATAAGGAAGGGGGAATAAACTTCTAATACACAACAATCCTTTGATCCTAAGGAGACCTCAATTATGAACATAACTATGTATAAAGGTATGCAACAACCCATCACACTTGTTTATTAAATATCTAGACACTAGGGACACAAAGGCAAAAAAAAGAAATAATCTCTGCCCTCAAGGAGCTTACATTCTAGCAGGGAAACAATAGGTACACAAGTAGGTAGAATCCATCCAAGAATTTTTTCTTAAGGGAATTGAGGTTAAGTGATTTGCCAAGGGTCACACAGCTAGTAAGTGTGTCAAGTGTTTGGTCAGAGGACAGATTTGAACTCAGGTCCTCCTGACTTCAGGGCCAGTGCTCCATCCACTGTGCCACCTAGCTGGCTCTCAGTTACTTTTTAATTGACTTTCTAGGGTTTTCTTAAGGAGGGAAGTCACTAGGAGTTGGAGAATATCAGAAATAGTTTTGTGTAAAGTGGTACTTGAGTTAAACTTGAAGGAAATAAGGGATTCTATGAAGTGAAGGTGAAGGGGAAATGCATTCCAGGCATAGAGGATAGCCAAAGCAAAAGCACAAAAATGGAAAATGGAGTATTATATGTGAGGAATGGAGAGAAGGCCAGTTTGGATGGATGCATGTGGAAAAGGGTGTAATGTATACTGGTGTTGAAAAGGTAGCTTGGGGACTTCTGCTTCCGGGAGCCAAGATGGTGGAGTGAAAAGGTAGTCATTCTCACTCTCCCCTATCAACCTCTGAAAACCCAGAAAATATCACCCCAGAAAAAAAAAACCCTGGAACACCTGAACTAGAAGAAAAAGTAGCTTGGGACCAGGTTATAAAGGATTTTAAAAAGGCAAGCTGAGGAGTCTGTTTTATCCTAGCATCAATGGCATTTACTGGGTAGGAGAGAAACCTGGTCAGATTTGTGCTAAAGGAAAATCACTTTGGCAGTGGCACTCTGGCACTTTGGCACTTGTGGAAGGTATATTGGAGTTGAAGGAGACAAAGTAGGGATACTATTATTGTGACTTTTAGAACAGCACTTAATATAGAGCTTGGCACGAAAACAGGTGTTTAATAAATGTTTATTGATGGATCGTATGAGTATATATTTGAGAGATGTGGAGGTGGAAAACGGCAAGATTTGGCAAACTAAGGACGAAGAGGGAAGCATTTATCAAGTGCTAGGTACTTTGCTAAGTGATGGAGATATAAATGGAATATTGTAATAACATTAAACTATTCTATTACATAGAATAACTATTAAACTATTCTAGGAGGCCTAGAATTTTCATGAATTTATTCAGTCAATGCAAGTGAACATAGTTTGAGAAATTCTGGATTACTATTTTAAAATTTTTTGGCACATTTGGAAGAGGTTTATTTTTTAAATTTTTAAATAATATTTTATTTTATTCCAATTACATGTTTATATATTAATCATGTGAAAGAAAACAAAGATCACCACACACACACATACACAAACACACACACACACACACACACACAAAGAAAATGAAAAATAATATGCTTTGATCTGTTTTCAGACTCCAGTTCTTTTTCTGGAAGTAGATAGCTTTTTTCATTATGAGTCCTTTGGAACTGTCTTGGATCATTGTATTGCTGAGAATAGCTAAGTTATTCAAAGTTGATCATTATACAATATTGCTATTACTATGTACAATGTTCTCTTCTGCTCACTTCACTCTGCATCAGTTCATAAAAGTCTTTCCTGGTTTTTCTGCTTGTCAATAGTATTCCATCACGATCATAAACTACAACGTGTTCAGCCATTCCCCCAACTGATGGGCATCCCCTTAATTTCCAATTCTTTGCCACCACAAAAAGAGTTGCTATAAATATTACTGTACAAATAAGTCATTTTCCTTTTTTTTAGGTCTCGGTCTTAATGTTACAGACTACTCTTTCACAAGTATTCTGAAATAAGCATTTCCTCCATCCTGCTTGATTGCAGGTAAAGTTACAGCTAACACTAGAGTGTTATACCTGGAGTCAGGAACACCTGAGTTCAGCTCTGGCTTCAGGCACTAGCTAAGTGACCTTGAGTAAGTCACTTTAACCTCTGTATGCCTCAGTTTCCTCATCTGTAAAATGAGGATAATATTAGCACCTACCTCTCAGGGTTGTTGTGAGAATAAAATGAAATATTTATAAAGTACTTAGGAAACCTTAAAGAATGGTAGCTATTATTACAAGTGGACAGCTAGGTGGTACAGTAGATAGAGTACCAGACTTGGAGTCTGAAAAATTTGAGTTCAAAACTGACCTCAGACACTTGCTAGCTGTGTGACCTTGAGCAAGTCACTTAACCCCTATTTGCCTCAATTCTTCATCTGTAAAATGAGAACACAGATTTAATGATGTCTGAGGTCGCTTCCACCTTTAAATGTATTATCCTATGAATACTCATAATTTCCAGACTATGTGGAATTAAAAGCTTTCAAAATATAGAGACCTAGCAGAAAAAAATTAAACTCATTGTGGGAGGACACATGACAAAAGGCACATGTAATTCCTTTCATCCTATCTGCTAGTGGAGTTGTCCCAAAGATGCTTTCAATAGGTCCAATAGAAGATGAACTTATATCCCAGTACTCCTATTCAATCACCAAAAAAAAGAAAAAGAAAAAAGCAGGCCATATATGGTGGTTGTCCTTCATTCTCAAAGAGGACCAAAATGACATCACTATGTTAGAGTCAAGTTACAGTGTGTCTGACTGTAGCTGATCAGACCAATCTGAGCTTGGAATGCTCTACCACAGGCCAGGCACAAATAATCCAGATGAACATTTGGGGTAGATTCTCTAAACTTGAGCATTCCCTGTTTCTTTCGAGCTACTTCAATTCTGCTTTGCTCATAGAGCACAGCACCTTCTCTGATGAGGGCACGCCGTGCTGGGGCCATATATAATTAACTATAAAAGAATACTAGCAAGGTAATAAGCTGTCTTCTGGTCATTTCTATTTGAACTTCATCAAAAAAGATAAAAACAAGACAATAAACACCTTCCTTGCATTTATAGGACTTTATTTTTTAAACTTCTTTCACACTCATTTAATTCTCACAATAAATCATGATATTTATTCACAATTATAAACACATTAGATAAATATTTCCCCAGATGAAGAAAGTGAGGGGCAGAGACATTAATGCCTTCTGTATAAAGCTACACATCAAGTTAATGAAATAGAGTGACTAGTCTTTTTAAGTTGTCTTTTTTCCATTATGGGTTTGTAATATGGACTCCAGAATGGAGGTAGACTAGATAAAAATGCTACGGGGATTATGAAGCTATAGAAGGACAGAGAGGTTGTTACTTGCCCATGGCCATATAGTGGGCCATGAACATGGGGTTCTGTTTTCATAGCATCTGAATGTGACTCTCTCTTAACTTCAAACCCAGACACTTCTGATGTCACCAATGACATAATCCTTGCCCTTGATTAGCTTTACAATTGTTGTTCAGTGTGTTCCACTCTTCATAACCCCAATTAGGGATTTTCTTGGCAAAGATACTGGAGGGGTTTGCCATTTTCTTCTCCAGCTCATTTTGCAGATAAGAAACGAAGGCAAACAGGATTAAGTGACTTGCCCAGGATCACACTGCTAGTAAGTTTCTGACTCCAGATTCCAACTCGTGAAGATGAGTCTTCTTGATTCCAACGCATTGCTTTATCCACTGAGTCACTTAGCTGCCCAGCTTTACAATATGTTATTGGAATAAGATAGCCAAATAAGTATTATACAAGGAAGAATTTGATGGGGCAAAACAAAGATGTTTCTGAGACCACCTGTAAGATCTTGGACAAATCACTTTATCTCTCTGGAACTCCATTTCCTCCCCTGCAAAATAAGGGAAATGGAATAAATGGCCTATAAGGTCCCTTCCATCTCTAGATGTATGATCCTTGACGGAATGCTACAAGAAACTTTGAAGGAGAGATCACTTTCAGCTGGGCAGGAAGAAATCAGGAGAAACTTCGTGGAAAACAATTTTCTAGCAATCTTATAGTCTCAACAGTTTTCACCCCTCTAGACAGAATAAAAGTAATTGTTCACACGTGTAACCCTCAGGACTGTTACACCTGAAAGTTGTCACTTTTCATAGTACCTAATGGTGTCGTTAGACTGGATAGGCATTTGGGGTAAAGTGGCAGGGAGAAAGAGGAAGAGAATCTCTAGAAGTTGTGCTAAGTGGCAGAGCATCTGGGGACAAATTGCTGCACTCTTCTTTCTAAACCAGCCTCTAGTAAGACGGGTTAAGTACCTCTGGATGCTGGCCCAGAAGTGTTTTGGGATCAGGGTCAGGAGAGATGGATGAGGAATCTTCGTGTATGAGGGAGAGGATGGAGATGCTGCCTTCTCCTCCTCACCTCTCCCCAATTCTCCCTGGAGCTAAAGCAAAAGCAAAAGCAAAAGCAAAAGTGAAAGTGAATGTCACCGTCCCTCACCCCGGACCTCCGCCCACCAGCAAACTGCACTCAGGCTCTTTTCTCTCTTTGCTGGGTCTCTTTAGTCACGTCCTTTCCCCTTCGCTCTGGCTAGGAGAAGCTGGAGCCCCGGAGACCGCAGCCTCCTACGAGTGGAGGCAGAGCTGCTGCCGACGAAGAGAGCGTGGATTGGAGCGGGCACGCGGTTAACTAACCTAAGGTGGCGCTCTGGCGCTCGGACACTGTGGACGGAGCGTGTAGGGGTGGGGAGGGCAGAGGCGGGAAGCCTCAACTTATGGCAAACTGCAGCCAGTTTCTGCGCTGCCGGGTCATCGCCCTGCCCTTGCAGTGGCTACAGCTCCTCCTCCTCCTCCTCCTGCTGCAGCTGCCGCCCAGCATTTTGCGAGGTAAGCAGAGGAGGTTGCAATAAGACCAGTAGGGGAGTTCGTGGAGGGAGACTTTCTGGAATGTGGGGGCCGCCCCATCCCTAGAAATGACGTGTCTCCGCCGGGCTGGGGATTGGAGGTGAAAGGGGGAACGCGGGGTAAGGATTCCTAGAAGCTGCAAGGGGCATCCAGCCTTCTCTGACTTGGAGTCCCGAATTCTTTGCTCTAGAGTTGGAGTCCGGCTTTTGAGAGTAGAAGAGGGACCTATTTACTTTGCGCTGCTCCGCTAGTCCACTACTCCAGCTGCTGAGAAAGAGCCAGACGCGAGTTAACCTCTTAGAACCGCGCGGGCTCTAACAGAAGGTAGGGAGCTAGCTATCGGAAGCCCAAGAGAACCGGACACTGGGACTTGGGCAGAACTCTGTGCCCAGCTTTAGGCCCAGGTAAAACTAAGGCAACTCCTGGGTAGCAGCCTCTTGTAGTCTATGCCAATTTCTTGGCTTCTTGGATGAGCTTACGGGCGGTTTCATGGGTTCGACTTTCAGTTTCAGAGCCTCCTAACTTCTTGACTGGGAGTCACATCTCTCGGTCAGGTGTTTTTAATTGTTGAATTAGCTACCAAGAGCTTGTGTGCTGAAAGATCACTTTTAATGAGCAACAACAAAAAAAAAGCGTGGTTCAGATTTAGCGAGGTTATGGTTTGACGAAAAGTTAGAGAGACCACCAGCATTGGAGGGGTTAGAAAAGGAAAACCTCCTTGTTGGGAAAGGATGGGATCTAGTTCCTGGAGAGGAGACCTTTATACTGGATACTGAGGAAGGGAATATATGCAGTATAGTAATCAATCAATATTTATTAAGAGCCTACTATGTGTTAGTACTATGTGTCAGGCATTGTGCCCAGCATAGTTGGAAGACAGCTTGTAGGGGAGGCTGGATTCTAGTATGCCTTGGAGCAACTTGTTGGAAACTCATTTTCCTCTTTTATGAATGCGCCTCAGGGACTCAGAGAAATACAGGAGTTGAAGTTCCTGAAGTCAGAATGGGTCCTTGGGTCAGAATGAAGCCTCTGGGATTGGAAGATTAATCCCCCCGACTGGAGGAGGTAGGAAGGAGGGGAGACAATTGTAGAAGATGAACTGGAACTAGGCATGAGAATATAGATTCCAGTTTCAATTGGTAGAGACGGCTGTAAGAGCTTCTCCACAGAGTTTAATTGGCAGAAGGAACCAACGTGATGATTGTTGCAAGATGATGAGCTCAGAGGGGCCTCTGTAGGCGTTTAGCAATTCAAGGTGCTAGAACAAGAGTCATGGAAGGCTGGTCTCCGGTCTTGAGAAAACAACTGGAGAAGGGGGCGGGGGAGGGAGGGTAGGAGGCATGGCCAGAATAGACTGAGAGTGCTGGCTAAGATCAACCTTTTTGAGAGCTGCAAGACATTTAATTTTCCATTCTGTCTTCTAGGTACCTGTAACAGGCAAGTACTTTCTACTTGATTTTCTTTATTTCTTCAAGCTGCTTCTATCTTCTAATTTTGTCTCCTATAAACTTTGATCACCATAATTTCACTGTGATTCATATGTGTTAAATAATTGCGCGGGCGGGGGGGGGGGGCTGGCGCGGCGGTGCAGTGGAAGACACCAGTGACTAGTTTGGTATTGGAGTCAGTAGTTTTGACTTCTAACTAGAATGCTAAAGATTCCCTATAAGCACAATGTGAGAGAATTTTATGGTTTTTACTTTTATTGATAACTTTTAGGAGCTCTGAAACAGCAGAAATACATGAACTGTTTGACTTAAGACTGCAACTCTTAGATTACTAATGGAGTCATTGGTGAATCACATTCATAGGGCTTAAGACACAGGTGCCTCAAGGAAGTTCCAGCTTCCAAAACTGGGGGAGTGGGACCGAACCAATGGGAAGAAAAATGTGTGGTTTAGAAAGAATCTATCCTGCTCACATTCCTATGGTGGGAGGGAACCAGAAGAGGAACTAGCTCTTCCTTTTGCTTTCACTTTCCATCCTAAACTTCTAAACTAAATAAGGAGAGAGGGCAAGATTGGACACATTCTATGGAAAAATTTTATACTTGGTGGAAGAAAAAAAATATTGGGGGCAGAGAGGGATGAATAATGGGAATGTACAGAAAAGGGACGGAGGGAAGCAGTCAGAAATAAGTTGTATTTTGTTTCATTGTAGCCTAACCCCTGTAAGGATATCCAAGAATATGCGGCTTTCAGCTCTTTCTGGGGAGAATGAAGGAGAAGGCAAGTGTAGTTAATCTCCCTTTATGTTAAAAAGATCTGTTTAATCTGGTATGAGTATAGCTATAGTCTTTTCGTCACAACTATTCTCAGGGTTTACACAGATTAGCACTGAAGCACTTTGCTTTCAAGGATGCCCAAAAATCTTTTCTCAGAGGCTGACTATGCATTCCCTACCGCCGCTGGCTCTCTTGATATGCCAGCTGTTGTTTTTGCCTGTGTTTCCATTCTCATCTGGCATGAAAATGAAGCTGTAATTTAACTCTTACAGATTTTCTTTTTGTTGTTTGATTGTGTCTTCATGACCCCAATTGGAGTTTTCTTGGTAGAGATACTAGAGTGGTTTGACATTTCCTTCTCCAATTCATTTTACAGATGAAGAAACTGAGGCAAACAGGGTTAAATGACTTGCCCAGGGTCAAACAGCTAGTAAGTGTCTGAGACCAGATTTGAACTCAGAAAGATGAGTTTTCCTGACTCCAGGCCTAGCATTCTATCCACTAGGCCACCTAGCTGCTAGACTTTTTGAATTTGAAAGGTTTTCCTTTGGTTGGAAGAGGAGACAAAGACTCTTCTTCCCTTCTAACCCAACCCAAAGGATTCCTTTTCAGATGTTTGGATGAAGCTGTCTGCCAGCATTTCTGGCCAGTAGAATGGTAGATTCCAAACTAGTTTGCTACTTTAAAAAAATAAAATAAAAATCCCACAGGGCATAACCTGATCTTCAAATAATCTCATTAGTTTATACCTGTGATTAATTGATTCACTGGAGCATCCGGCCTTGTTCACACCTCTGATTAATTCAATCAAGAAATCTGGGTACTCTGTTCTTCTGTAATGGCGAAGACCCCTACCCTAACAAATAATAATGAAATGCTGCAGCATTACCACACAAAACAGACAGGATTTAGGATGTATTAATTTTACAATAAAGAATAAACATAATTTATTACCCAGTACAGATATTAGATTTTTTTCCTACTTTTAGCACTTTGCATTTGTGTTCTTTGTTACAGAATGGAAGAGAGGACAGTGGGAAAAAAAGGAAGAGATTCATTCACTCATTTGGAGATTGTAGAATTGAAGAGTCAGTCAGTCAGCTAGTATTTATTAAGTGTCTATAATGTGCCAGACACTCTAAGAGGTTTGCAGAAAGCTACAAATTCACCATCTTGCTGGTGATACGAGAAGCATTGTAAGGGGGGAGAAGAAGGTAAACATTGGGAAATATAGGGGATATAAAATCAAAAGGTAGCAATAAAACCTTAAAAAATAAAAATAACCATATTATTTCTGGATGACTGGAGAACGAGATGATGGTGGAAGTAAGGCACTTTTTTAAAAAAAAAGGTTATCACAAGCATTTATTAAGTACCTACATTAGACACTGGGCATATGAAGACACAAAATAGTCTCTATCCTCACAGAACTCACATTCTATCAGGAGAGACAATATAATCACATATACATATATATGTGCAGATATATCTGCATATATTATATGTTTGTGTATTTATATATGTATATATGTGTGTATGTATGTATGTTAACCATTGTATTCCTGAAACTTCTGTCTTTAAAATTCCATCCTTCTAGGAAGGATAGTATATTCAATTAATAACACCTTTCAATTAGTTTTTTTGTTGTTGTGTCAGTTGTGTCTAGCTATTTGGGGTTTTCTTGGCAGAGATAGTGAGGTGGTTTGCCATTTCCTTCTCCAGATCATTTTTTACAGATAAGGAAACTGAGGCAAACAGGGTTAAGTGACTTGCCCAGGATCACACAGCTGGTATCTGAGGTCAGATGTGAAGTCAGGTCTTTATCATCCCAGGCCCAGAGCCTCTATCTACAGTGCCATCTTATTTCTCTTCATTCCTACCTAGCATTCACCTGGGGCACTTAATCTCTTTATCAACTTCAGTGTTGTCTAATCTTCTGTTTCCTTTGTCCTCATTTCAGGTCTTACCTCTGGTATCCTATGCTGTACTCCAGCCATAATATGGTTATTTAAAAAAAATACATTTGTATTGATATCTTTTGACTTTACATGTCCTGTATTTACCATTGTATCCTTTCCCCTCCCCCCATACAGTACTTCTCCTGTACTAGCAAGATGGTGGATTAATAGCTCCCTGCATATCTCTCCAATCCTTCAACCTCCAAACAAAGGACTTAAATACCATATGGGGAGTAATTAAAGCTAAAGCCTCAAGGAAAGAAGACAGAACAGTGTAAGGTTAAAAAAAAAGTCTTATGAATTGACACTGAAGAACTTCAATACTTAGAGCACTAACTTAGTGAGTATCCTCCCCTTGCCTCACGTGGCCATGGCAGTGAGCATAAAATAAATTGCAGGATTATTCATGGCACAGTTCTAATGTAGTAATTCTGTCCAAACACCTCTGATATTTGATGACACCAGTGAAGAGGGAGGCATCAGAATGAATGGTAGATAAAAGAAGACTACAAGACAAAAGATATCTAAAGAAAAAAAAAACTTCAATGAAACAAACTAGCAAAAAAGGATTCTCCAGATCAGGGGGGGAAATGTGCAAAACCCTAAAGAAAAAACCAAGTACAATTAGCAAATATGAAGGAAAGCAAATAGTGTGTGATGAATGAGTTTCCTGTAGTGTCCCCTAAAGATCATGGAATGACATCAAGAAATGGCTCAAAATGACAATGAAACTCATAAAAGAAGAAATTATGAGTGAAGGTCAGAAACCAGATCTCTCTTTTTCTGTACCTTTTTTCTAAGGATTTTTCTGAGGATTCCTTTACCTTGTTCTCTTCATTAATCTCTACCCTTTCTATCTATTCTGAACTTTTTTTTTAATTTATCATATATACATATGCTTGTTTGTTCCTTCTGAAACAACCTCTGGCCACAAACAAATTTGTTGCTAGAGGGTACTGCCAGGGCATTATTCATTCATTTATTATTCATTCACTCAAGGATCTGACCCTAGAGTCCTGTTCCTAAGACCGGGTCAGCACCTCATAAATCTGAAGGGTAGAATGGAAGGGGAGTTCCCTTTTGCTGAGGCTTGGGATTCAGGCTATGGCTTTTACTCTTTGGTGAGGTGTATCTGCCAGGGGTCCTACTCACAGCCTTGGTCAGCACTCATGGCTCTAAGGGAAGAGGGAGTAGGGGAAAAGGTTCCTCAGATAAATCCTTGCTTTGGAGTCTTGAATCATGGCAGTGGTTCTCGTTAGGATAGCAATGGTTTATAATCTAGTCCCTATCACTGAAGCATGGGTTCAGTGACTGAGCCCTCACTCTCACTGGTAAAGATGGGGTGGAGGGGACAAGACAGTTGCTGATTCCATTACATTCATGGAGGTGTAGCTGCCAGGAACCTTATTTGTATCTTTGACCAATGACTCTTGGATTAAGGGTACTCGTGATCCAGGCTTGGGCTTGTTACCCATCCAAGTAGTTCATTTGGATTTTGTCAGGAAGGGGTGACTCCAAAAGTCACAAGAAGTTTTATTAATGTTAATACTTATAAGCACTGGCAATCAGTGGGTAGACTGCAGTGGTCCTGAGGCAAGGTACAGTGGCAATTAAACCTAAATGGGGACAGGGGAAGGGAGAGGGGCAGTGCCTTAGGGAGCCTCATACAGAGGGTTAGGTGATTTCTCTGAATTGGAGGAATTGATCTCTGGGCATCAGCTGAGAGTGGGAGACAGTCGAGCAGTACAGGGACATTGTTCCACTAGCTAAGGATTTGTGTGAGGTTTTTATAGTGGGTTTTTTGTTTGTTTTTTGGCTAGGCAATGAGGTTAAGTGATTTGCCCAAGGTCACACAGCTTGTAAGTGTTAAGTGTCTGAGGCTGGATTTGAACTCAAGTCCTCCTGATTTTATAGTGTTTTATAGGGCGTTTCTCCCAACCAACTGAACAGGAATAGGACAATACTCCTCTGCCTCTGTAGGAGGATGTGACATTTCCTCTAGCTATGAACCAAGGAGGGTTCCCCACCACAGCCTTGAGGTGAGGCAGAGCAGTTATCTCCCAGCATTTAAGCAAAGAAGGCCTTCTACTTGGTAGATGAGGGATGACCCAGTGTCCCAACCACAGACATCTTGACAGTGACGGCCGTATGCCAAGGAACAAGGGTAAAGTGTAGTAGCTTATCAGCATACAGTCAGAGGAAGCAAAGCATGGGGGACTGAGCCAGCCAGCCAGCTAGTTAGTTTCTATAGCCAATTAAAACTGTGTCACACATCAGAATTACAAGATGGGTCCCAAGTGGAAAAAAAGGAGTTTAAGAAACATCAAAGGCTCACACAGCAAGACATATTTCCTTCTACACCTTGAATTTGTAGTTCTTCATGGTTTGGGGAGAGAAGAATAATTTGAGATTAACCTCATGGGGAACAGCAGAAGTTTTTGCAACTCTTATGGAGAATGAGGAGAGAGGAAAAGAGAAGAGGGGGTCATCCTGTGGCAGTGGTCAGTATCTGCCAAATCTGCAGTTTCTTTAAGACCGTGAAAGATGACTTCTAAAGGGACAAAGTGGGAAGCATGTGACTCTGTTTTTATTATGGCATTTGCTTCAGTAGCAAAAGAAATTGACAAATCAACTAGAGAAACAGAAGGGCCTTCTTTCTGCTTAATTGTGGTGTATGGTTTTTTTTCCAGTATTTTGCTAAAGAATATATTTGCAAATTTAATATTATGTCTTGTAAACACTTGTGGTTGACTCTGTCTTGATATTGCCCAGGGACCCTTTGTTTTTGGCATGAGAGCAACATGGGAACCACACAGGAGAGAGAGATCTTTCCTAGTGCAGAGCTAGGAGCTCAACCCACAGCATAATGATGGTTTGCTCTATAACTAGGGGGATGAGCACAAGCCACTTCATAACTACCTCTCTAAGTGCAGAATTACTGTTTTGTAAATCTGCCTCATGGACACAAGCTGATGTTATCTTGTGGGAATCTCTTCCTGGAATCAATTTTTGTTTTTCCTTCAACGTTGTCCAAGAACTCATTACA